GTGTGTGCAGGTGTATGTGAGAATGATGATCGTTTGAGCGAACATCAATCGTGTCGCTCTCCAAGCAATACTCAAACGAACATAGGCGCTCAGTAGAACACAATAACGAGAAGAACCGAGACGCTTACTCAGAGCGATTATACGAATCAAACGATCAACTTTTATTTTCAAGCTATGCTATTCTATATATAGAGTCAGTGAAATATAGAAAATTAAAATATAGCGAACCCACTGAAAGCAACAAGACAATCCAAGAGGGTTCCAAGTTAACATAGCTGGCCTAATTTTTCCTATATTCCCATTTTTCTCGCATTTGACTTGCCTCTTCACCCGTCTAAAACATGCAGCAAAACATATTCCAAACTTGCAAAACCTTTTCCAAACAACAAACTCTTGCATTGTTTTTATCTAAATTGCATTGTCGCTTGTGCAAAAACTTAGCTCGCTGCAAAGTCAGTTGCGTAAAGGATTTGCAGTCTGCAGTTGGGAAAAGCGCCTTAGGCTTAGACACAAGACCAAATGCAGTTGGCCCAAAAAAAAAAAGAAAAGCAGGAGAAACTAAACTGAAACTGTTAAGACGGATGCAATGCCTGCCTAGTAGCTCTATCCGCTTTGGCTATGGCCTGTTCCTGCACCTGTGCGCCGCGCGGCTGCATGCAACAAAATGTTGCATAATGGGCAACGTTTAGTGTGAAATTTTTAGCGGTTCTCTTTCCTTTTTTTTTTCGTTTTTGTGCACTGCCTTTGAAATTGCGCACATAAACTAATTTCACATGCATGAAATGACTTGCATGGCAGTAAAAATGAGAAAATTGCAGAGTGGCAGGCAGCTGCTGCTGTGGCTGCTCCTGCTGCTGTTGCTGCTCCTGCTGCTGTGGCTGCTCCTGCTGCTGTTGTTGCTGGCGTGGCATATGCATCCATTAGGGTTAAGTTGCGCTCCTCATGCGTTCTGCGGGCTTGGCCCCAGCGCTAATTGTGTCACACAATGATGAGCATAATTTGCGCACACTTTAACACACAGGGGGGGAGGGGGGTGCAGAGGGTGAGGAAAGGCGCTGGAATAGTGGCAGCTGGCTACAAAAGCGCAGTCGCATATCAAGCATACGCCCCATGTGTGTGTGTGTGTGTGTGTGTGTGTGGAGCAATTTATGCACAATGGCAGCACTAATTTTCCGTTAGTAAGTAATTGCATTTGCGTTGGCCTCTTTGAGCAAAACGTCAACGTTTTGCCTCACCTGCCAGCGAGCTGCTGTCCTGTTACCTGCCTGCCCCCGCCACCCACTCTATGTCAAGCATTATTTGGTGTTGCGTATTGTTTTCATTCATATTGTTTGGCATTTTCATTAAATGTAACCGGAAACTCGACAGCTGCCTTTTCGGGCATATCCATTGCGTTACTTGATACGGCTCCGACGACTACCGCCTCCCGCCTCCCGCCTCCTGCTCGTCTTGCATAATTGTCAGCTCGTATGCAGCAGACAAGGCTTTTAATTGGCATCAACTTTATTTTGACTGTGTGTGTGTGTGTGTTTGTGTGTGGGGAAGGAAAGCCCACCCATGCTCTCTCTCTCTCTCTCACTCTCCCTCTCTTCCTCTCTTGCTGTATAAAATATGCTGTCATATGTTTTGGCTCATGATGAATGATGCCGCCAATTGTTTGGGTTTTTGTTTTGCTGTTGTTTTACGTTTGTTTGCACTGCGCAAACAGCGCTTCTCGAAAAGTGGAAAAAGCTTAGCAAGCCAAGCCACATGCCATCAGCTAGCCAGCCACCAACCACCACCCACTCCCTCGCAACCCTTAACTCCAAGCTGAGGCCTAACATTTTTCGACTTGACAGCAGCATATTATGTATCTCTTAGCCCGCTCGACTGCCTCTCTGCCTCTCCGTCTGTCTGTCAGCTGCTCTGCCAAAAACTCTGTTGGTATACTCTGTAATCGTTAAGCGATTTCTTGTGGAGGCGTGCCAGCCTCCCCTCCCCCGCTCGCTGCGATTGCTTTGTTTGCCTGTTACGTACAAGAAAAGTAATTTTATGTAATTTGTTAAGTAATATCCTTTGCTGCGTGTTTGCCTGCATGTCTCGGCAGGATGTGGCGAACCGTGCGGACGTGTATGCCCGAAACTTGATGGATTTACTACTCCACAGGCAGGCAGACGTTGCTGCGATTGCTGCTGCTGCCTGCTGCTGATGCTGCTGCCTGCTGCTTCTACTCCTGCGGCTTGCCTGTTAATTAGAAAACGAAAACGTGAACGAAAACATCAAAGTGCTATTGTTGTTTAGCTTTAAGCCGCTTCAGCCACATCCATCAGCTGCCAAACAGACAATCAGCAGCACTCGAAAAGCTGCTACGATTCCTGCATTGATATATCCTAAAAGATTTATAAATGAAAAAAGATTACCTGCTGTTTGTAGTAAGCAAAGCTGAGATGGTATTGCTCTGGAAATATTTATTTATTTTCTATAATTAAAAAATATTACATTTATTTATTCAGCATTATTTATTTGGTGAAACGCCTAGTAATTCCCTTCAGCTATTCATTTTTGAGAGACTCTACTGCGAGATTCTTTATGTTATGTCAATATAAAGCATCCGCAGCAATATATTTCAGCGCTTATTAGCTAAATCGAACATCAATGGCGCCTTACACCTGCAGCATGCTCAGCTCAGTCAAAGCAACTACAATATTTGCCTGCTGTGCTCTTCCATACTTCAAAGGAAAATCCCAGACCATCCCATAACTCTATGTCTCCTCATCGCACACCCCTCACTTACTCAAGTAATTTTAATTAAATAAACAAATTTGTTTTTCACAATTCACACCTAAAGCTAACAGCGTTGATTGAAGTCCTTCGCCCGGCGGCCTTTGCTTTGGCAATCTCGCCTCTTGTGGCGTGCAACATGTGGCATGAGTAATTATGTGTTGTTGGCGTCCAATCAAATTGCTGTCAACAAAGCCAAGCAGACTTGGCTGCAATTAAAAATCTGCTCTTTGAGCCAAAAACAAAACAAAATTAAAAAAAAAAAAAAACAAAAAAAAGAAAGGGTTTTGGCTCACGTCGCGCAAATTGTTTGTACGTGTCGATTCGTCTTTTAATAACAACAACTACAACAACAGCAACAACAGTCGCAGTGAGCTCGGTTGCTGGTTTCTAATTGGAAACGCTTTTCATTATATCGCAAATGAAAATCAATGTTCGACATGGCTGTCCTTTGGTTGGAGTAATTAAACACAATCAACCGGCAACAGTTTTGCTTTGCTCCTTTGCTCCAACTGCTGCTGCTGCTGCTGCTGCTGCTGCTGCTTCTCTTAATAAATCCCTTAGCTGTAGAAGTAATGGCCGGGAAAGAGTTCAGCTACGAATCCTCAAACGGTCGCCAGCTTAATCCAAGCACACACACACACACGCAAACACACGAACACAAATCAATTTGGCTTGGCCCTTGGGCTGCGTAAGTGAGTTCTGCCAGTGAAAATGAAGCAATAAATAAGCGGTAATTGGAAGTGATGAGCGAAAGGATATGCTGCCCGATCCAAGTCCAAATCCAAGTCCGAACCGTGGCCGTGGCCGCAGGCCACAACAGAGTTCGACTCTGGGGGTCGATCCACACACACACACAGCGTCCAAATCTCTAATCAAATGTCAATTTCTTATTCAATAATATGGCAACATACGAGCGAAATTTCAGAGACCTCTTTACCACTTTTCCCAGGACTTGGTGTAGTCGAGTGCGAAAAGAAATATGGCCAAGGAGTAAATCTCTTAACGACTCACTGTTGCAGCAACAGCAGGAGTAGCAGCAACAACAGCAGCAGCCATTGTCCTTGCCTTGCTGCGTCCTTGACGCGGTATATAAGCCATTAAATGTGCTTTTTGGCCAATTATTACGCGCGATTTATGCTTTTATTTGTGCACAAAGTTAACAGCAAGCAGACACACGCAGAGAGAGCGAGAGAAAGAGAGAGAGAGAGAGAGAGAGAGAGACAGAGGGAGACAGAGCTGATAAAGTTTGAGTATTGCTTTCAGCTGCAAATCGATATGCGCACAATGTGTGTGTGTGTGTGTGTTTCTGAAAAAAGCAAACACCTTGTCTGAATTGCATATATATTTTTACCTGACTCGCACTGCTCTGCACATCAATTTGCTCCATAAGCTCTTAAGCTATTCAGTTTTCGTTGTTGCATAAATTGACAAATTTTCTGCTCTGAAATGAAAATGCATATAACATAATCAAGAGCTTTGCCTAGATTAGAATATATGTATTCAAATGGATTATATTTTTTTTTTTAGTAAAAAATCACAGAAGCAGCCTTAAAAACATGCCTCTCTTAGTGATTCCCATGTGGTTTTAGTTTAGTTAAACAATATCTACCGTTATTCTCTAGCTTAACATTAGATAACAAGATAAGAAATAAATCGTGAAAGATTGCAGTGTAAAACAAATTGACTTGTTACATCAAGGATAAAGATGGAGAAGAGAATCAATAAAGAGAGCAGAATGTGAAAATGTTATATCATGGCTAAAGAAATACTTTACATAGATAAAGAATATTTTTTCTTCTTCTTTCTCTATAACATATCCTATTCATCTCCTTCATTTATGAAATCCTTTGGCTCAGTCCTTATGTCTATAAGCCTCTACTATTTCCTTCTGCTTTCATTATGTTATTTCTTTTTTTTTAAGTATTACAGTCTTACCTTAAATAGAATTTAAATTGAGAATCTATCACGACACACACATTCGCACCTTCTTATCTTCTAAGCTTTTGTCGTATATTAAATTGCATATAAATTAATCATCAATATATCAAAATCTCATTATATTGAACTACATAGTTTTGCTTTTGCTCAATCTCAGTTTCACTCACTTACGCAATCACGTTTTTTATCTATGTAATATTCCACCTAGTCTTAAATCCCGCTTAGCTTAAAATTGACTTTATTTTGCGACGAATTTTTAATTATAATTTGCATATGTTTTTTCTACCTTTTATTTTTAGCACAAGAATCTGCGAAAAATGATAATAATAAACCACAAGGTAATGATGCACTCCAAAAATTTCTAGCTTTAAATTAGTCATATGCGTAGCTTTAAAACTTGTAGTTTTTTATATGCATAACTCAAACTTTTGCATGCTGTTAACGGAAATTGCTTTAGATGGTTATTTTAATAGTAGTTGGTATACCTTATAGAAATTTTAAATGGGGTATATTGTTTCTGTTGAAAAGTGTGCAACAGAGAAGTCTGGCAAATTCTTTAATATGCATAAGAACGATATTCACCCCAATGCTCACATAGCTCAAAATCGATTAAAATTATCGATAATGATCGTTATTATATTGTTAATTAAGCTTTTATGTTGTATATACCCCGTAAGTATATATAGATCAAAGCTGGGCTCTACATATTTCATTCTCTCTACGCTCAGCATGGTATTCCGGGTATTTTCTAGTTGAGCATTTCCTACTCTACAGTCTTGCGTGTTTTTCTTTTGGTTATTACTGTTTTGACAGCAATTTAAATAATCATATTTTATGGGAGAAGCTTTCAAAATGTCATTAAAATAGATATGATGTCCTTTGTGCCCTCTGTTTGTGTAGTTTGGCATTAGAATTTGCCTTTGTCATCATCATCATCGTCGTCGTCGTCGTCGYTGTCGTCCTGTGCCGTTGTCCTTGCTCGCCGAGTGCAGTCGACAGGCTAAAGTTAATGACAAAACGCAGCGGGTTATCATTTTCATATTGAGACATTTGGGAGGCTTAGAGAGGGTATGCGTGTGTGAGTGTGGGGAGTGTGTAGGGGTGTGTGTGTGTGGCATTCAAGGATGCAATATTGAAAATCCCTTTGGCATTGACTGCACTTGTCTGGAGTCTAGAGTCTGGAGAGTCTGGTGTCTGGATTCCTGTCGCCATCTCGAGCTATCGCCTCGGCTCTGGCCTTGTCCTTTTTTCCTTTTGGTTATCATCGCCGTAATTGAATTCAGCAACAACACAATAAATTTTGTGGCACTAAGCAAGGAGGCACGGCATATATGTATATATGTGTGTGGGTGTGACACTAAAAGGGCTGCCAAAATACACAAAGGAGAGCAGGCGACGGCGAGGCTGCTGTAAAAAGAGAAAATTTAATTTCTGGCCTGAATAATAAATCACAAACATAACAGCGAACGGTTGAAGGCGAAACGGTTCGCAAACAAATAAAAACAGCGCAAATGTTTCAGCTGGAGGACACTTGATGTCGCCAGAGATAAAGCTGGCACTCTGGCCGTGGGCCGTGGCCGGTGGGCGGTGGGCTGTGGGGCGTGGCTGGTTGCCCAATTTGAAATGCGTTGTCGATGGCCATCGTGCTGAAGCGCGTTGTGCTGTTGCATTTATCAAAATTGTATTTCCTGTCGCTGGCCGAGCACCAGCAGAGGAAATACCCACTCTAGAGATACACCCCGGCGCATAAATATGTATACGCTCACCATTTGCTATATATTTTATTTATTTTGGCTAGACATGGAGCGAGCCAAAGGGGTTTTCGGCGTATGCTTCAACGAGTTGAGCGAATGTTTGTTTTATTAAATTTTTACGCAAACGCGTGACACGCGCATATGAATAAGAAAGATAAAATATTTAGAGTTGTCATGACTAGCAGATACCGCGCAAAGTTGGGGAATGAGATGGCATAGTTAAACTTAAGGCTAACTGATGCATACTTCTTGATGTATACATTCAGTTAGTGTTATATGTGTTATATATATATTATAGATAACAACTCGACTAACAGATACTCCTTAAAAAGTGTTAAGGACCATTTAATGCAGAATATTTGCTGTCTGTCAGAATCAAACTGAATTGCAACAATATTTCATACCAGTAAAAATCAGCTCGACTAGCGAATACCCCTTAAATGATTTGATAAAAATATATTAACTATAAACATACAGCTGTAGCAGTAGAAATTTTTGGCCAGCCACTTTAACTATCAACAGGCGCCCATATTTGGTTTATGCCCATCAAGTACAGGGTATATTAATAATAATCATAAAAAAACAATGTTTCATAGTACACTTGAGCAATACAAGAAGCATAAATTCTCACGCATTACGTGCCCCGCGTACTTATGCAAATGAAAAGTAAAAATTTTTTTATGTTTAGCTCATTTCTGTTTTATAGGCGACACACTAACTGATGTATGTGGTGTGTGTGGCTGTGTGCCTGCGTGGGCGTGTCTGACCCACTCGTCAGCGCAGTGTGCTGTGATTTTTTTATTTTATTATGATAGTGTGTTCCGCCCTGGGCAGGAGTCATAAATAATGCCGCAAAGCCAAAAACAAATACGAGTAGTAAACAGAAATTGCGAATAATATGCAATAATGCAAAAGGCCAACAGTTGGGGTATGCCGCCAACAGCTGGGCAAACACACACACACACACACACACACACACGCACACTGCAGATATGCAAAAACAGAGAAAAAATATATATGAAGACCCTGGGGAAAGATACAATTTAGCCACCCACTGGGGTCGCATGTGTGCGTGCAAGTGTTTGGCTGGCTTTAAGTCACAGCAGGACGTGACATCCTTGCATAGCATTTGCATAACTATGACCGCCGCCAAGAGGCGGCAGGAGCAGCATCAGCATCAGCAGCAGGAGCAGGAGCAACAGCAGCAGCAGCATCAGAGACAGGCTRCTCCTCGTCCCGTCTCCTTCACAGTCTGTTGCTTCAGCGCCCGCTATTTTTATCATTTCCGTTTTTTGTATGACACATTTTTGCATTTCTGTGTTATTTCCATTTTTTTTCTCTTATTTTTGCCTCTACTTTTCCTCGGCTGATGTAACGCGCTTGCATAATTTTCATTGTTTTCATTTTATGCGCGAATTTTCTGCACTCAGTTTTCATTTTCTTTACTTTTTTCTCTCCTTGGTTTATCATTTTATTTCAGTTGTTGTTTTTGTGAACCGTTTCCTGTTCTGACTTCTGTTTGCATTTCAAGTTATTCGCCCGAGAGATTTTAGTGTGTAACGCAATAAAACTTAAGCATAAAGGCGTTAAAGGAGTTCCGAAAGGACCGTGACGACAGACAAAGTGGGGAACTGCTCGCTGCGCTTGAGTGCAGTACCAAAAACCGGCTATATAACTTTATGAATGCTGTAAAAAAAAGGCAGGAGGAGGAAACCATAAATATGGAAAGAGAGAGAGAGACTGGGAGGGAGAGAAGATGTAAATAACATTTCTTGTATGCCATAAGATAGTTTGTAAAGTAGAGGTGAGCGAGGAAGAACTTTAAGTATTAATTTTGACAGAATTGTAAAGTTCTGATCTGAGCAAGTGGTTTGTAAACTATAGAAGGGCGAGAGTTGGAGAGACAGTAGAGGTAGGCATACTTGATGTTAATGAAAAAGAAGAATGACAAGCCATAGAGACTCTACAGAGAAGAAGAAGACAGAATCTCTACCCTATCTCATTGGGTAAACGAAGGAATCGGGTAAAAAATAAAGAGAGCTTAGGTATTCAGAGATATCTTATGTAATATTCAAGCGCAGCCAACTTAATATGCGTGCAATATTGTACGGTGTTGCCAGATCGCTGAAGCAAAATCACAAATCAATGTCGCGAATCTTGTTAAAGTCATAAACAACTTGCATGCAATATGTGCTCGAGCGCCATTAGAGCGCTGCTCCAGTTGCCCTAGTTAGCAAAGCCACCCTAATCAATAGATAGACACATGTGTATGCATGCATGTATGTATGTAACACCCACACGATGCGGTAAGCGTTGCCAACTGTTCCATTAGCATGGCCATTTCGCATTGGCATTATCATTGCCAAATGATTATCGCTTGCTCCTTTGATATGCGCCAAGTTTGTGTCTCGGAATTGTCATTGCCATTGGCATTGTTGGCACTCGCAGCGGAATAATCACACACAACTATTGGAATTTTCAGAACTTTCTAATATAGCAAATATGTAGTAGAAGAGCGCTAAAAGTCGTTTGCCTTGCGAGTCATTTTTCCAATTTTACAGCCACTTTGCCAATGCTCAGTCAATTTCTGCAAATCAAATGGCTTTCATCTATGTGCCCAGCCCCTTTGCCCGTTTTGCTTGAGTGTAGCCAAGACGGCTGCCAGGACGACAATGTCATCGAGCAGGAGGAGCAGACAGACAGACAGACACAGAGAGAGGGAGAGAGAGAGAGAGAGAGAAGTCTGCTTGAGGCACTGGCATGAGATGAGATTTGGCTGGAGCTGGGGCAGCACTCGGCGGCTGCTTGCTCTACTCGTTCAATATCGGTTTTTTTCTTTATTTCAATTTTTTGTTCTCATTCAAGTTTTCCTCTTGGTTTTCTTTTCTTTTATTTGGCTCATTTATGGCGCACATTGCGCATTTAATCGCCGTCAACATTTGCCATGGAACGTTCATAGCAAATGTCTGTGCACTGCCTTCGTCTAATATGTACATATGCCATGTATGTGTGTGTCGGTGTGTGTGTGTGTGTGTGCCATATGCGATTCACAGTCGGATTAGCTTTCAACGAGCGTCCGTTCTCGTGAAGGCAGCGTTTCATATCCTAATATCCTGATATCCTGTTATCCTCGGCAAGTTTGCCCAAAAGTTTTCTTTTTTTTTTTTTTTGCTTTACGTCATTCCACCACGTCTCGCCTCGCCTCGCACAATCGGCTGCTGTTGAATTTTTAATTTTTATGTTAGTAATTTCTCAACATTCTGTTTGACTGTCTGGCAACAGGCAACAGGAAGCGCCATCCACAGCGCGCATCTTGTGCGCGCATATTAAATTTGGTTTTTATTTAGTTTTTTCCTACTTCTCCATCTCTTCACTGACTGTATACCCTGTGCGCATAGAATGTGGGTAAGAGTTTGCTGAAGGCGCTATAGTTGACGAGATGGGCGGCAGACGAGATCAGGATACGGTTCATGCCTTAAAATGACTATTATGAAAAGTCATAACATTTAGCACTTCAGATTTGAGAGAGTAACAGAGGAATATCAGAGACAAACTGGCGAAATATATCTGTAGATGGGAGAATAGTATTAATATATAGTCATATATCTAAATATTATTATCAAATGAGAGATATTATTATACAATTTGATAATGATTATATATAGAACTTATTGCAACTATTATTCCAAATTATTTTTTAAGAGTTATGAAAGTATATATAGCTTATGGATTCAGTAAAGATTCTTGTTGAAATGACTGATCAATGATTGAATCAAATAAGTATAGGAAAACAACTTCTTAGTAGTTCAAAAGTTCAGTTCCATGAGAAGGAAAATCGTAGTAAAGTTCTTACGAACTGCTTAAAGTCTTATATACAATGACTCCAGGGTAACTTCCAGTCCAGAACTTTCAGCTAAAGCAGCTTTTCATGTGCCCTGCGCTGTTTTGGGAAGGCGTGAAAAAAAGAAACACGAGGTGAAAGCAGATGGAGTTGGAAGACCTTCTTGAACGCTCAGTTTCCTAAATGGAGTTTTTCTTTCTCTTACTATGGTCAGGCCATTGACTGTGGCATGAATGTATGTATGTATGTATGTGTGTGTGTGTGTGTGTGTGTGTGTGTGTGTGTGTGTGTGTGTGTGCATATATGAGTAGGTGTTGCGAGCTCTGCTCGGAAATGTGGGTTAGAAGCCCAACGGAAATGCAATTCAATGAAAGCTTAAGTTGGGGAAATTGAAAGACGAGTTTAAGCGAGTGTTACACCGGGGACTTGATCATTGTGCGCAGGCAAGGAAATGCGAAATTATGCATTGCAAATGAGGCAAACTTAACAGTTCGGGGTGGGCGGCAGCTTTAAGTTTCAGTAAAAGTTGCTTAACATTTAGCTCGTGACTCACGTGCTTCTATTATTTACGCTCGCTTGCATTGAACTATATATCATGAAATGCACACGTGCTGCCACGCCCACTCTTCGAGGGCCGCAACAAAACCAATTTGCGCGAAACGCGACTGAAACTGCGCTGGCAACAGCCGCCAGCCCCAACTATATTATATAAATATTTCAATAAAGCCACAAAGATACACAGACACACCTGTGTGTGTGTGTGTGTGTGTGTGTGTGCAGCTGTCAGAGCAACAGTCACGGTAGCAACTGCATCCACAGCAGCAGCAGCAGCCACGACGATGCCAAAAGCAAACATAATTTAAAATGTAATTAGTGCTCAAATAGAAAGCCAAACAAACCGGGGCGAAGCCAAGTGCAGAGAGAGAAAGAGAGAGAGAGAGTGGGAGTGAGAGAGAAGTCCGCCCACACGGGCAATGTACCTGTGCTGTGTGGGCGTGGCAGTGGCAATGCAAACAAATTGCTAAAGCAAATTGAAAGCCAGCTAGGGACACGCTGGCTGACACGCTCCCAAGTCAATGAATATCATCGGGTTACTAGGTGACCCACTGCCGCAGCAGCAGCAGCTGCCACGCCCCTCAACTACAATTGCAACAAAAGTTTGTCCTAGACCAACTTTGAACTGGCTGCCACCTGCTGCCACACACACACACTCACACACACACACACACTTATACATTTATACCTTTTGAAACATTTTTATTATATTTGCCAGCTGTATTATGCAGAGCTGCAGCGGATTCGATTCGTTCCGGTTTTCGGTTTCGGTTGCCGCTGTGCAAACATGGCAGAGTTGCCACAGTGGCCGCAGAGTTGTTGCATGCAACGGTTTCAAGGCTGCCCATTGATGATGATGAGGATGCAGCCACCTCTGGCCCGCCCTTAGCCCCCTCTCGGTCACTTGGGTTAATGAGCAAACTTGCCAACAACTGGCTGGTCGCTCGGCATTGGGGGCGTGGCTATGGCCTCATTATGCCGAGCCCCAAATCCTTTTTTGCGCTCCTTAAAGGTCCTTCAGCCAGCCTGCAACTGGCCATTTGTTGGCTTATGCTTTGTTCGCTCATGCTCCTCTTACCTTTACTCGCTCTTTCTCTTTGACAGTCGCTCTCTCTCTCTCTCTCCCTCTCTGTGTGTGTGGGACACTAATTTAGATTTTAAGTAGTCTACTCCAAGCACTTGTACAATCTCATTAAGCTGTTTCCTTTCTTTGCTTTTGCTCACTTTTTGATGACTCTACTCTTCTCTCTTCTTCTTCTTCCCTTCGCAGACTGGCGCAGCACGGACAGCACCGACCATCATGATCGCGTACAGCGACAATTGTCGGTCTCGTCGGACAGCAAGCTGCTGGATGATGATATCAGGGAGGAGATGAAGTACCATTCGCATGTCGTCATGCGACCCAAGAAGCCGCCCAGACCCAAGTCCGAAGTCTTTCTCAACAAACAGGATCCGCATCCGCGACGAAAACGTTTCAGTGCATTTGGGGTAAGTAGAGTGAAATGAAAAGCAACAGCAAATGCATTTTCCTCTCACTCAATCAATTTCAATCAATTTATGCTCACTCACTTTGTCTAACTGTAATTTATCGCTGGTCATTTGATATATCTCTTCATACACAAACACACATACACACGCATTCACACACACATACACACTCACACACAAATGCGCATAAATCATTGCATACTACTGGGCACTTTTTTCACATCTGTGCGCTTACAATTCTCAACTGGTTGTAGCTACGCTCGAGTGTAGTGCACAGCGTTGAGCTATGTGAAAGCATTGAAAATATTTTTATCTCTTTGAAATTTGTCCTGGTGGGACCCTTTGCCTTGGCACTGAGTGTTCCGAATAAATAAATGCATTTAAATATTGTGCTATTTAACCATTGAATATGGTAAAGTGACTCTTATAAGATCACAAACAATACAGAAAGATGGTTATGTTGAGAAAAGTCAGCTTTGATTATTATTGGATAGTAAGGAGAAATGTAAGCGGACTCCAATTTGGAGACTCTGCCCTATAATCAATATTATTGAGATCTCAATCAAATTGCGGTCGTGTCATGCAGTGTTGCCAGGTTTTGAGACATAAAAATAGCAAAATCGTCTCTAAAAAATAGCTGAAAATAGCTAAACAAATTTTAAAATAGCTTACAAAATAGCTGAAACCTTTATGCATTATGCATTTACTTWAAATTTTATTTTTAAATGTTATTTAATAATGTTACAATTTGGTCCACATCCAAATCATCATCAGAATTATATTTTTGAGAATTATATTTTTGATTAACTGGAATCATTTTTAAATATTTGGAAGGCACGGTATAATCATGGCAGCATTTGCCATTCCTGCGCAATCCATATCTGCAAATAAAACACATGTTAATGAATGTATTATAATAATAGTTAAAAAATACATGCCTTATGCTTAAGATAGCGTCAAGCGTCTTCAGTTGCATTCTGTTTCTTAAATTGGATTTAATTAGATTCATTTGGCTAAATATTCGTTCTACTTCTGCGTTGGACCATGGTAAAGATAACAGCTCCAACGCAAACTCAGCCAAATCCTTAAAAACTTTTACGCCACCGGCATCAGTATATTTAAGGACTTCCGCCCAGAACTTGACTGTCTCTGAAGTGTTGTGCCACTCAATGAAATTTATTTTTGCGTATTGCCGCAGAATAGTTTCAATGTTTTTACATTGAAAACATTTGAGGATTGGTAATAAATCCGGTTTATTGGCACGCAACACACTTTCCACAGATAAATTATTAATTTTCCTTAAAACTGACACATTTTCTGGCAATCTGCAAAAAAAGAAAAGAAAAAAAAAATCAGTTAAGATAACTTAAATACAAGAATTCCATAAATACCTTTTCTTTAGTTGATTTATCAGCTCAGTTATAAAATTGGCACATACATTTCTTATTTCCCTTTCCTTTTGTGGGTCAACATTAATTTCTTTTAACTGATTTTCAAAGGAGTATCCCAAATAAAGATTTTTATTGACATGCACCTCAAAATCCTCTTCTAATACATTTACGTCAATATCGGGTGGAATTACTTGAGATTTGAGTGTCTCGATTGCCAAAATGATATCGCTTAATAGTTTTGTTGGATCGGCATCGTTGGCCTGAAAGCTTTTATTTAAGCGCTGCATATCGCCAAATATGGGTGTTAAAAATACCAGATATAGTTTGTTAACGTTATCACAATAAAATTCGTATAGCAGTTTTGCATTTGTGCACTTTTCTGCAACAGACGCTACACCAAAATGAACTTTCAGTTCCATCCACTGGTCTAATATACGTGACACAGCGGTTTCCACAGATAACCATCTCGTCTCACATGCTCTCGGAATTTTAAGAGGTTTCTGATGGAATAAAAAATATTTTATTAAAAATATTGTATGTGTTTCGCTAAGATTACATAAAACATAGATCCTTATTAAGTAACAAACACGCTTTTGGGTTAACATCTAATATTACTGAGACAATCACAATAGAACAAAAAGAATAAGTATACCTTATCATTATTGATACATTGATATATTTTTGTATAGTTTAATTGCCGGATAGAACTTTTTGCAAACCAATTATATGTTTGATGCACTAAGAATTCTAAATGTTCTGGCATACACTGACGGCAACAGTGACTAACTGCCAATTGTATAGAATGGCAAACACATTTCAATAATACAATTGAAGGATTAACTTTTTTTAGTTCCTCATACACACTTCTTTTTGATGCTGTCATCACACTAGCATTGTCAGTGCCTAATCCAATCAAATTCTGAACATTTAATTTTTGCCTTATTAGTTCATCCTTTATACCTTCTGCTAAAGTTATAGCATCTCCTGATTCAACTTGGATTAGGCTTAAATACGTTGAAACCATTTTCTCTTTTTTAACGCTAAAGTAATTTATAGCAACCCCTAAATGGACATTATRTATGTAGAAATAAATTAATTTAAGTTAAAACGTATAAATATGTATATGTATATATGTATGTACTTACCCATTAGTTTTGTAATACTAACATCAGTGGATTCGTCCACTAAAAGACTAAACTTGGATTGGCCAATGTCCAAATGCAAATCTTCTTTAAAATGCGGCGCCAAAACGTTTGTTAAAATGCTGGTGCATTTAGTTCGGGCCAGCTTGATTTGCAGAGCAGCGTTGCTACTGTTAAATACTCGCGTTAGGTGGTCAATCGAGGATATTGCAGTGTGCTCTGCAACGTACAAACATAATGCCGCCTCCTCCTTTGCACTTTTAGTTGTTGCCAATGGTTCGAAAACAATTTTGTTTTTTTGCCCAAAGGCGCCAACCGCAGTTTTATGTTTTTTTGTCGCGGCATGCATTTTTATATCGTGCAATTTGGCAAAAACACTGCATTTGCAGTATATACAATACGCCCGCGTGTTGTCCGACTCATCCTCCTTAATCCAATCCTTAAATTCGGTGATTGTTTTCCAGGAATCACGAAATTTCTGCTTAACAATTAATGCCAAGAAGCGCGCCAAGAAGAATTAGCGATGGTGTAAATTCACAACTGATGTTATAAGTACGATAAAGTCGTGGTGGTAGTATCGCGCAGATCATTACGTACAATTTGGGACTTAATCGAAAAATGTTTTTTTTTTTTTTGTGCTTTAAATACTAAAATCAAGTTCAAAATATTCGTTTGTAAAATAGCTAAATTTATAGCTAATAGCATTTTCAAAATTTTCATAGCATTTAGGGTTCAAAAATAGCTAAAAATGCTATTAAATAGCTAATCTGGCAACACTG